CTGCCTTGAAAGAGACGGTTGTGAGGCCCCTCCTCAAGCAACCCACTCTGGATTCGGCTGTTTTGGCTAACTACAGTCCGGTCTCCAACCTTCGCTTTGTGGCAAAGGTTGTTGAGAGTGTGGTGGCATGATAGCTCCCTCAGTACCTGGATGAACTGTCTATCTAGATCTGCTCCAGTCAGGCTTCAGGCCTGGGCACAGCATGGAAACAGCATTGGTCGCGTTGGTGGATGATCTCTGGAGGGTTTGGGACAGGGGTTGTTCCTCTATCCTAGTCCTGTTAGATCTCTCAGCGGCTTTTGATACCATTGATCATGGTATCATACTGCACTGGTTAGAGGGGTTGGGGGGCGGGGGGCACCGTCCTACAGTGGTTCTCCTCCTATCTCTCTGGCCAGTCGCAGTCGGTGTTGGCAGGGGGGCAGAGGTCGACCCCGAGGCACCTTGTTTGTGGGGTGCCACAGGGGATGGTCCTCTAACACCTTCTGTTCAACATTTATGTGAAGCTGCTGGGTGAGATCATCCGTGGTTTTGGGGTGGAGTTCCATCAGTACACTGACAATACTCAGCTGTACATCTCCACCCCAGGCCATCCCAATGATGCCCTTGAAGCGATGTCCCAGTGCCTAGAGGCCGTGCAGGTCTGGATGGGGAGAAATAGGCTTTGACTCAACCCTTCCAAGACCGAGTGGCTGTGGCTTCTGGCGTCCCAATGTAGCCAGCTGGTGCCATTCCTGGCTATTGGGGGCGAGTTACTGGCCCCCACGGAGAGGGCTCACAACTTGGGCATCCTTCTGGATGCACGGCTGTCTTTAGAAGAGCACATGACGGCTGTGGCCAGGGGGGTTTTCATCAGGTTTGCCTGATTCGCCAGTTGCATCCCTTTCTGGATCGGGACTTTTTGCGCACAGTCAGTCAGGCATTCGGCACTTCCCGCCTGGACTACTGCAATGCTCTCTACATGGGGCTCCCCTTGAGGAGCACCCGGAGGCTCCAACTGGTGCAGAATGCACCTGTGCGGGGGATTATGGGAGCAATGAGACGCTCCCATGTGACACCCCTCCTGCACGAGCTGCATTGGCTCCCGGTGGTCTTCTGGGTGCGCTTCAAGATGTTGGTTACCACCTGCTCCATGGCATAGGGCCTGGGTACTTACGGGACCGCCTTCTGCCGCCGATAGCCTCCCACTGGCCAGTTCGCTCCCACAGAGAGGAACTCCTCAGGATGCTGTCAGCCAGGCAATGTCGGCTGGCGACCCCCAGGGGGAGGGCCTTCTTTGTGGCAGTACCTGCCCTCTGGAACGACCTGCCCCCGGAGATACGTAGGATACCAGATCTCTGTGCTTTTCGCCGTGCCCTCAAAACTTACCTATTTCATCAAGCTGGGCTGGCATAACACACCCCCCCCCCTTTAGATATTTTTAATTGTAAATGGATTTTAGTCGGGAGGTTTTAAATTTTGGGTCAAAATTTGTTTAATTCTTTTAAAATTTAAAATTTTGTATTGGGGTGATTTTTTATTCTAGGCTGTGCACCGCCCTGAGTCCAGCAAGAGAAGGGCGGTATAAAAATTGAAATAAATAAATAAATAAATAAATTCCAAACTGCATACCGATGTCTTGGCTGAATTCTTTTGTGTTTTCAATTAATAAATTCAGTTCAGCTTTTGTTTTACCAAACAGCTTCAAATCATCCATGTACATCAAGTGTGAGATTTTCAGTCCTTTCTTTGCAAGTTCGTATCCACAGTTCATCTTCTTCAAAATGATTGTCAGTGGTAGCATTGAGGGTATAAAAAGTAGGGGTGAAAAGGAATCACCCTGGAAAATGCTTCATTTAATTTCAACTTCACCCAGTTCTTCTTCATTAGCCATAAGTTTTGTTTTCCAGAGGTTCATTGAAGATTCCATGAATTTTTGTATGTTGCTGCTGATGCCAAAGATTTCCAGGCATTTCTTGATCCAGCTATGGAGAACTGAATGCTTTCTTATAGTTTATCCAACCCATGAACAGGTTGGTTCGTCTTTTCTTTGAGTTCTTTAGGATTAGCTTGTCAATCAGCAATTGATCCTTTGTTCCTCTTGAGTTTTTGCAGCATCCTTTCTGTTCTACAGGAAGCAAGTTATTTCTTTCCAGGTATCCATAGATTTGGTTTGCAATGATACCAGTAAGAAGCTTGTATGTTGTTGGCAAACAGGTGATTGGCCTATAGTTTCCAGGGTCCTTTCCTTTTTCTTTATCTTTTTGGATCAAAAATGTCCTTCCAGTTGTCATCCATTCATCATTTTCAGGTGGTTTTTAGGATCTGGTTCATCTGGGTTGCCAATCTTTTGTGCACACTTGTAAGTGCCTTTATCCAGAAGCCATGCAGCTCACCCGGTCCAGGTGCACTCCAGTTCTTCACTTTTCTTGACTGTCTTTGCACTATTGCTTTTGTTATTTTCACGTCTTCCATTTTATGCACTTTAATAGAGTCCTCAACCTGTTTGATCCATTTTGCATTTCTGTAATGCTTCTTGTTGTTTTCCCACACATTCTTCCAGAATTTCAGAGATTTCTCTTTATCAGGCTTTTCATTTGTTGTTACATTTTCTAAGCTCTTATAAAGCTGGTGCTGATTTGCTCTGAACTGTGAGTTTTCCTTGAACTGAGTTACTCGGTTTTCATACCTTTTAATCTTTTCAGCGATGGCAACAACCCTCTGCTTCAGCTCTTCAATTACTACCGCAATCTCCTTATTCCTCAGATCGTATCTTGCTTCCAGGCTGCTTTTGACCTGCTTATTCTTTAGTTGACCTTGCCTTAGGTTCTTCAAGTTGCTCAAATCTCCACATACTTTTTTGATTTTCAATTCTAATCGAATTTTCCACTTAGGCTTCTCCTTCTTGCCTCTTTGGCAAGAGGCAACCCCAGTTCTTTGGTGGTTATGACGGCTGCTGCATACATCAGTTGGTTTGTTTCGGCTAATGTAGTGGTTCGAATAGTTTGCACAGCCTCATTGACCTTTTTTAGTACATTTCTCAATTCTTTCCGGTTCACTTGGTTCAGCTTTGGGAAACGTGTTCTTTCAGCATCTTCCATTTGATGCTTCATTTTTCCAGCTAATTGAGCATTATCTGTTGGTGTTTGTTCTTCAGTGCTTCCTTGTTCTTTATCTTCATCCATTTCAGTATCCTCTTCCTCCCTTTGTTCCTCAATATGCTTTTGAGTCTACAAATCATTCTTGATGTTACTCTTCTTTGTTGATGTACTCAGACCATTAATTGCTTTCTCTTCTATTGCTATTAATTCTTCTGTAATGAAAAAAATGTGTTTTAGGATTACACGTCGTTGGTCCATTAACCTTTGTTCACTGGTGTCACAGTCCGTATGGTTCATCTTCCAAATCTGATACATTCATTTTTGAAATCCACGTTTTGCTGGCTCAGACTGATAGTAAGCTTCCGTAATAGAGGTGTTTTCTTCCCTAGTCCAGATTTTTCGCTTTTTGGGTTTTTCTTCCAGTAGCTTGTCAGCTCCATGCCCTGGTTGCCTAGCAGAGGGAGCTGAGCCCTGTAACTCATTTTGCATAGAATGCTCAGGAGCCATAGCATCCAACGGAACCCTTGTTAATCCGGGTGATGGTTCAGCCGGCATAAATTTCATTTTTTTCGTATTCACCATGTTTGAATGGGTTGTGGAGCAAATTTTGTCTGGCCCTTCACCTAAGATCTGTCTGATATGGTTGCACCTGTTCAGCATAGCCCTTAGGATCACTAGAGCATGCAAGCCCTTCCACCACGACAAGGTAGAGCTCCTCCTCAGAGGGGTTGTTGTTGTTGTTGTTGTTGTTGTTGTTGTTATTATTATTATTATTATTATTATTATTATTATTATTATTATTATTATTACTATTATTATTATTATTATTATTAAAAGGTGTGCTTAATCTATTTGCAGTGTATTAACCAAATTCTACCAACACATCCTTGCCTTGGCCTTTGCTGTGAAGGAGATCAATGAAGACCCCCAGATCTTACCTAACATCACTCTTGGGTTCCACATCTATGACAGTTATCATAATCCAAGGATGACCTATCGCACCACTGTGGACCTCCTTTTCAAATCCCAGGAATTTATCCCTAACTTCAAATGTGATAGCCAGAAAAATCTGATGGCTATCATTGGAGGATTAGGTTCTGATACATCATCTAATATAGCTGAAGTTGTAGATTTTTACAAGATTCCACAGGTTAGTATGGAGGAGATGAACAGAAAAAAATTGTACTTTGTTGTTATAGCATAATTACTGAGATATTAGATTTGTATTAAGACTTTCTACAGACCTTAAGTTATAATACTTCGCAGTCTTTTATGAAGCTACAATGCCAATCATAGAAGTGAGTTATCTAGAGTCATTCCATTCCATACCATAGATTTGAATGTAGCACATTCTCGTCTTGTTCAAACAAATGAACTATTATAATGTGTTTGAAATAATTCCTAGAAATTCCATTCTATATTAATATTTCAAAAGAAATAGAGGAAAAATTCCTTCTTTGGATATATTTTTTACAGGAAAACTAGATCCAGAAAGATCGGATTTGAGCTAATGACTCAACAGAGTATTATTCTGCTTTATTTTAGCTGACATACGGCTCATTAGCCCAAGAGGAGTTTCAGACTAGCAAACGCTCTTCACTTTATTTCATGGTCCCAAAAGAGGACCATCAATACATTGGGATTATTCAACTGCTTCATCATTTTCGATGGTCGTGGATTGGGATTTTTACTATGGATAACAACAACGGAGAACATTTCCTACAGAAAATGCAGCCCATACTTTCACAAACTGGAATCTGTTCATCGTTCATACAAAGACTTTCAGAACTAATCCACTTTGAACGCAATATAGAACTTTATCACATAGCCTCAAGTATTTCCACTAATTTGAGGAATAGCAATACCACCACATTTCTTGTCTATGGAGAATCGCTGACAATTATGGGGCTCAGAGCTATCATGTTTGTAGCAGATCCTGAAAACAAGCAAACTGCATCATTTAGAAAGGTGTGGATCATGACTGCACAGATTGATTTTGTGCTGTCCGGCTTTCAAATCAGTTGGGATATCCAGATGTTCCATGGGGCTCTTTCCTTCACTGTTCATTCAAGAGCAGTTGTAGGTTTCAAGGAGTTTCTTCAGACCATCAAACCTCATGCAGACTACAGAGATGGGTTTCTGCAGGATGTTTGGGAACAATCATTTGATTGTTCATTCTCAAAATCAGAATTACAAGAAATGTCCAATAGGCAGTGCCCAGTGGAAAAGAAACTGGAGGATCTTCCTGGGCTTGTGTTTGAAATGGAAATGACTAGCCAAAGCTACAGTGTCTACAATGCTGTTTATTCTGTGGCTCATGCTTTGCAAGCACTACTCATGTCGGGGTTCAATAAGAAAAAAACAATGATGGGTAAAAAAACTGACCTTCCACATCTGCAGCCTTGGCAGGTATTCTCTCTGCATTGGACACTTCTTTTATTTCAATGAGCAATTTGATCTAGAATTATCATTTGAACCTATAGAAGAAAGTCTTAATATTTGCTGCTTATGAAATCCAGTTAGGTATGAACACCAAGAAACTACTATATTGTTAAATAACACAGTTAAGGGAACCTGCTAGTGGCTCAGTGGCTGAGACACTGAGCTTGTCAATCAGGAAGGTCGGCCGTTTGGCGGTTCGAATCTCTAGTACAGGTTTCCTGCGTGATCAGGAGGTTGGACTAGATGACCTCCAAGGTCCCTTCGATCTCTGTTACTGTTAAACTATCTTTTTAAACTTGGCTTCCCCATGGATTTTGCTTGTCAGAAGGTGGCAAAGATCATAAATGTGAAAACAGGTCATAATGTGAAAAACGGTCATAAGTCTCTTTTTTCAGTGCCATCACAACTTAAAACAGTCACCAAACAAGCTGTTGTAAATAGAGGACTACCTGTACTATCCTTTAAATTCTCTGATTCTTTCATTCTCTTTCACATAGCTCCATCCGTTTCTATATGGCATTTCTTTTAACAATTCGGCTGGAGAGAAAGTTTCCCTGAATGAAAAAGGGGAAGTAATGGGTGGATTTGATATCATCAACCTCATCACATTTCCCAATCGGTCTTTTCAAAGAGTTAGAGTCGGAAGAATAGATCCGAGTTCTCCAACAGGCAAAGAATTATTCATTGATGAAGATCTGATTGTCTGGCACCCAGCTTTTAACCAGGCATGGACTCATTTCATGGACTATATCTTGAGCTATTATGATTCCAGATAGAGGCCTTGGTCTCTTAAACCATATTGAGCAAAGCCTCTTTAGAAATCTAATTTCTATGTTTGTAAGAAAAAATGGCATACTATGAACAAATATGGCCCATGATCAAGCATTAATCAAATTGACAAAATGATCTTACAATGTGAAAGTCAGGTTTTCTTTTTGGTTGCAATTACCTTTCAAATTATGGAAGTTGCCTTATTTCCGTAACATTTTCATCCCACATATTTATTTATTCACCTTGCCTTTTTCAAAGAGACCTTTTTCCTCATCATTGTAACTTCAACAACTATTAATGTTTTAATATAAATCCAGCTAGGTAATATTCACTTTACTGGGAAGTAAAGATTTATCTAGCCCAATAGAAGAGAATGATTAATAACTCGCAAATGAAGGTGTCCCAGGATAATGTTGAAGAATCTACTCTGAGACAGTCACTGGTCCACCTTTGGTCACGATGACTGTCCCAGATTAGATCCTGCAGGATTAATAAATGTTTTTTTCTAAAACCACCCTTTCAAAGAATCTTTTATGTTTATCACCAGGTACTTCCAATTTCTCTGTGTAATGACCATTGCTCCCCTGGATACTGGAAAAAGGAGATTGAAGGAAAACAATTCTGTTGCTATGACTGTGTTCCATGTCCAGAAGGGAAGATTTCAAATCAAAAGGGTAGGCTAGACATTCCAGGAAGTTTTCATAGGTTGATTTAAGCAAAGAAAGAGGAGCAGTGGTTCAAGAGCTTAATGACTCTAGAGAAGGTCATTAAGCTCCAATGGTTTGAGTCCTAGCACTGTGTGGTGTGGTGAGCTTCTGTCACTCATCTCAGCTTCTGCTGATCTAGCAGTTTGAAAGCATGTTATATGCAAGTAGATAAATAGGTACCATTTCGGTGGGGAGACGAGCTGGCACTTCATGTGGATGGTTAGAATCCTGCTAGCACTGCACTTCCCATTTGCGATATCCATTTGTGACACAGCTTTGGTGAAGGGACAGGGCCCCATATGATACTGCAGCAAAAACAGTGGTGAAATCTAAAATTTGTTACTATCAGTTCTGTGGGCGTGGCTTGGGGGGGAATATTGTGACTGGGTGGGCATGGCCAACATTTTTTTTTTACTTTTAAAACCATTTTTTTCTACAACCTCTTTGGCTAAGAGGTGGTTAAAAAATGCTTTTAAAAGCCTCTGACGATCCCAGCTGAGTTGCCTGATCAGCAGAGGCTTTTTTTCTTTTAAAAGCCTCTACCAATCAGACAACAAAGCTGGGATCGTCAGAGGCTTTTAAAAGCATTTTTTCTACAACCTCTTTGAAAAAATGCTTTTAAAAGCCTCTGATGATCCCAGCTGAGCTGCATGATCATCAGAGGCTTTTTTTTTACTTTTAAAAGCATTTTTTCTGCCGAAGAGGTTGTAAAAAAAAATGCTTTAAAAAAAAAGCCTCTGATGATTGAGCAGCTCAGCTGTGCATTGGGGGGGGGCAGGGATTCTTGCTACCAGTTCTCTGAACCACCTGCCTCCATCGCTACCGGATCAGGCGATCCGGTCCGAACCGGGAGTATTTCACCCCTGAGCAAAACCACTCAGCTTCCTTTCTGATGCAGAGCTAGCTCGCCCCCTTTGAAGATGTTTCGCTTCTCATCCAAGAAACTTCTTCAACTCTGACTGGATGGTGGAGAATGGAAGGATTTATATTCCTTGGAGACAGCTGGTCATTTGCATTCTTTTAAAGAGTTGTTCAGGACACTTGGAGGTTTGTCTGTGTCCTCGGGGTCACCTGAGTAGTGCAAATGGTATGGAGCCTTCTTGGAACTGCTGAAAGGACTGTGTTGTGGAGCTGTGCTTTCTGCAGCTGTGTTCCTTTCTGCCCTGTGTCCCTTCATTGTGGAAGACAGACGCAGGCTGTTGGGGATGTGTCTGTGTTGTCTGCTTCTCAAACTGAAGCACAAATGGAATGGATTTGCTGGAAATCCATTTACTTCCACACCATTTAAAGGGTATTCATCCCAAAGTGCACAGATAAATATCAATGGAAATTCTCAGTCATCCAGGTCATGGTTCTCCCAAAGTTGCTTTTTAATGAGCAGCTGTCTTCAAGGAATATAAATCCTTCCATTCCCCACCATCCAGTCAGAGCTAAAGAAGCTTCTTGGAGGAGAAGCGAAACATATTCAAAGAAAAAACAAGAAAGTCAAGTTGCCTCTTGAAAAAGCACCTTTGGGACAACCAAAGTCAGACCTGGGTGACTGACAATCTTCATAGACAAACAGAGCTGGCAGTCTTAGGGCAGCCAAGTACTAGTCTGTATTAGCATTATAGTCTCCTGGCTATTGGAACATCACCATATACTAAATAAATAAGTAAATTTAAGCAAACTGTAATACACTACCTTAGTGTGCAAATAACTAATACTTTTAGTTATTAGTGAATATTCATTTTTATAGCTGTGACTCACAATCTGTTGTTCAGGTCATTACACTCTGTTACTAGAGACTTACATATCTCTTCATCGTTTTCTTTTCCACGTTTTGGAAAAAAAGTCCAAATGGCCTACATTGCAATAAAGTTTAAAATGATTAAAAAAAGATTGCATTTCAAAGAATAATATTCCTTCCATATCTGCTTCGTTTTAAGCCAATCCTAAATTTTCCATTTGAGGAAAATTTTCATAGAAACATGATCCATCTGATAACCAGTGGAAAGAGTTCAAAAGGAATAACAAATGTCACCTGTTCAGAGGGCAATGTGAATAATATGGAAGGCCTAGATGACAAATTGCTTGATTTTCCTTTCAGATATGGATGACTGTTTCAAATGTTCAGAAGATCATTGTCCAAATGAAGAAAAGAATGGATGTATCCTGAAAGTGGTGATGTTTCTAACTTTTGAAGAAACATTGGGAATCGGTTTAGCTTCAGCTGCTCTTTGTTTCTTCTTCTTGACATCTTGGGCAGTTGGAATTTTTATTAAGCACAGGGATACTCCCATTGTCAAAGCCAATAACCGGTCCCTCACCTACACCCTCCTTGTCTCTCTTCTGCTCTGTTTTCTCTCCTCTTTGTTGTTCCTCAGCCAACCTGGCAAAGTGACCTGCCTTCTCCGACAACCAACTTTTGGCATCACCTTCTCAGTGGCCATTTCTAGTGTTCTGGCTAAAACTATCACCGTGGTTGTGGCTTTCATGGCCACTAAACCTGGTTCTCAGATGAGGAAGTGGGTGGGGAAAAGATTGGCTTTTTCTATTGTCCTCTCATGTTCTCTGTTACAAGTATGCATTTGTATTTTTTGGTTGACAACATCTCCCCCATTCCCTGAGTTGGACATGCACTCAGAGCTCCAAGAAATGATTTTACAGTGCAATGAGGGATCAGCTTCATTCTTCTACTGTGTGTTGGGCTACATGGGTATCTTGGCCATCGCCAGCTTTATTGTGGCTTTTCTTGCTCGTAAGTTACCTGACAGCTTTAATGAAGCCAAGTTCATCACTTTCAGCATGTTGGCCTTTTGCAGTGTGTGGATCTCCTTCTTTCCAGCCTATCTGAGCACAAAAGGCAAAGCTATGGTAGCTGTGGAGGTCTTTTCCATCTTGTCCTCCAGTGCTGCATTACTGGGATGCATATTCCTACCAAAATGCTATATCATTGTTTTGCGACCTGACCTCAACAACAGGAAGCAACTCACAAAGAGAAATTAGTATATCATGTGTTCTTTCTGGCTCCCCTAATTAAAAGATCAAAGGTGGTTTGTATGCAATTTCAGGGAAAGAACCTGATATTTGGTGCCTTTGCAATTTATACTCTTTCTTTCATTGAGGTTTCTCTATAATTTCTAGATTTAAAGGGATTCTAGCCTGGTCTAGTGGTTAAGGAACTGCAATAGAAAGCAAGGGACCATGAGTTCAAGCCCTGCCTTGGCCCTGAAAGCCAGCTGGATAACTTTGGACCAAACACTGTTTTTCAGTATACCTCAAAGGGTTGTTGCTATGTGGAAAAAATAAGGGGGATGGTATATTGGATATGTTTGCTGCTTTTGGTTGTTTGTAAAAATAATAAAGTGATATATATTGTAAAAAAATAATAATAATAAATGAAATGAAATACTAAAATGAAATGAAATAATAAAATAAAATAATATAAAATATAGAATAATGTAATAAAATAAAACAAACCTGCTATGGCGAGTGAAAGGGATTGAAAGGTGTAAAATGTACGATGACATCATTAACTAAATTCCACCCAGTTTGTAAATGCATAATGAGCTGCACAAAAGGATGTCATTTCCATGCCATAAAGAGTACCTTTACTCACTTCCTGCCTGGCTCCGCAGCTTTGAAGACGCTCTTTTTTGAGCGCCCGTTCTCTGGTTCCGTAAAAGCCCCAGAACAACCGAAAAACTGCTGTCTGGAGGCTTGGAACCCTCTCCCCGGGCAAAGGGGAGAGACAAGAGTCGACAGGCAGAGGTAGAGTCCCCCAAGTGCGCTAGGAGAAATCCAGGGGTTCAAAGGGTGTGGGCTCCCTATTGAAGCCTGTCAAGCCACTCCGGACCAGAAACGACTCCGCTGAAGTGGAGCTAGAAGCTGCGACCAGAATCTGCAGAAAATCAACAGGGGGGATTTTTAACATCTTTACTTCGATCGCAGACGGAGCAAATCAGGAGAAAACAAAAGGAAATTTGCAAGTAACACTTTAACTCCGCTTTAATATGCAGAAAATGGCGCCTGAGGGCGTGAGGAAGAAACTACCAGGGGAAGTGCTCATTAGGGCTTGTTAACACTTTACAGCTACTGGATTACACCCTAAGAGAAAGAGAAAGTTTTAAATGGAAGCGGCCAGGAAAAGAATTTGGTTCTGATTTTAACTAAAATCTGGTCTTTATACTGTGTGGGAAAAAGTTGAATTGTTGTCCTGATAGCTGGATAAATACAAAGTAGCTGAAATATGGCTGACAACAGGGCTGGTGAATCAGCAAATTCCCAAGCCGTGACTGTCCAGGCTTTTCAAGAACTTTTAGACTTTTTTACCTCAGCCCTGCTGAATACAATCGAAAGGGCTTTTTCAAAAAATAGCTTGGGAAATTATAAGCTGGAAATTATTCAGAAGAATTTGTTTTTGGAAGATCAGGAAATGGACAGGATTAAGAGATTGGCTGGTACAGCTGAAAGAAAGGTTTTGGTGGACGTTTCCATTCCAATGACAGAAAAGCAACAAATGGTTTCTTTATTGCAAGCTGACAATCTTTATGGCAACAAATTTTGGCTATATGGACAAAGAAATGGATTGAATGATTATACAAACCAGAAGAGACGAGATGAGGATTTTAAGTTAGAAAATCTGACTTCAAGAAGAGAACGAGTATTTCAGAAACATCAACCTCAAATCACTATTTTAAAAGTTTCCAAAATAAAACTGGGGGGATTGTTGAAAGAATTTATTAAAAAAAAAGGATTGGAAAAAATACAAAAAGAAGTGAAGAACAGAAGATTAAGAAAGATATTCTCCTGTGGATTTTGAAATTGGCAACGGGCAAATATGTGTTTTAATGGTATTAAAAGATTTTTAAAATGTTTAACATAAGGTTATATTATTCTACAAGATATATGAGATAAATTATATAAGCTTTTAGGATGTCTAACCCTTTGAAGTGAAGAGGATTAATGTTAAACTCAGAATTTTATTGTAAACTGATAATTAGTTTTGGATAATTAAGGGTTGTTCTTTTAAAAAGTTAGAGGTATTAAGACGGTTAATTGAAAAATTGAAAGATACCCTCCTATAGATTCTGAAATTTATATTTGGTAAATAAGTGTTTTAAAGGTATTAAGAGATTTTTAAAATGCTTAACATTAGACTACATTATTTTAAAAGATATATGAGATAAAATGTGCAAGATTTTAAGATGAAAATTTTTTTTCTGGTATAGAAATGGAATTTATTCATGATTTTTATTGTTTGTAAAACTCCTAAAGTATCGGATTATGCATTAAGAAAAAGGTTTTTTTTTCTTTTTTTTCTATATAAGTAGGAAGAATGAATTTAATTTAATTGGTATTGAGAATTTATAAAAGGGAGGTTGTTGAATTGGAGCAAAGGGAGTTAAAGAACATGTGGGAGCTTTGAACTTTATAATTTGTTAGTTTATTTTAGCATATGTTTGTTAGATGCTATACCCTATTTTTGCTCTGGGAAGTCAGGGGTGGGGTGGGGAGGGGGGGATAAGGCGGGGGGGGGAAGTGATGAATAGAGAAATGTTTTAGCAGAAGAAAGTGTATTCTAGAATATAGGAGTTGCCCAGATACTAAAGGAGGAAAATATTTCACAGCAAAGAAGTTAGAAAGGAGAGAGGAGGAGGGGGAGGAAGAGGAGAGGGAGGGAGAGGAATGGAAGAAAGGAGAGGAGGAAGGGAAGGGGACAGGAGTAGGAGTGAAGGCGAGAAGGGGGAAAAGAAGAGAGAAGTGGGGGAAAGGGAAAGGAAGTAGGATGAGGTGGGAGAAGAGGTAGGAGGGAAGAGGAGGGAGGGATGGGAAAGAAAGGAGGAGGAGAAGAAGGTTTGTTGTGGAATGAGGGAAGAAGGAGAAGAGCAACTCCGAATATAACTAAAATGTTTTATTTTAATGCTTTCTTTAAGGGAAACATGTATATAGAGGATTTCTTATGTATAAGAAAATGTATAATTTATGTGGGGAAGGGGAAGGGTGGGGGGAGAAAATTGTATTTCTTATAAAACTTTTTAATAAAAAAAAAGAGTACCTTTACTGTTTTATGTTTGATTATAATTTATTATAAATAGATAGGTAGCTCGATATCCAGATATCCAGAGAGAGAGAGAGGAGGGAGGATGAGAGGGAGGGAGGGAGGAGAGGAAGAATTGGAGGGAGTGGAATAGAAAAAATGAGATAGAGAGATGGACGTTCAGACCTACAGACATACAGACGTACAGATGTACAGACACATTGATTCTATGCACAGGACAAGTAGCCCAAATTATAATGAAAGTGCAACCCTAATTCAGATAGAAATTAGTTACTCTGTACTTCTCTGCAAGTGATGCTTCCCCTGTTCTCATCATTGGTGGCATGATGTCCCACATAGTTTATCAGTTTTACAAATTGAAATTTAAGAAAAATCCCCGAATAAACCTTATGACATACATTGGAAGGAGTTTTATTCATTCATTCATTTATTCACACATTTAAGAGAATGCATATGGCCACCCAATCCCTTTCAGGGTCCCTGAGATGGTCAAAAAGATAAAACCCCAATATACAAAGAATAAAAACACACTGCTGGGGACAATGATCAATTCATTGAGCCACTTCATAGGTTCCAACCCATTCTGGGTTCCACAGGCCTATTGTCAAAACCAGGACTTTTCAAAAGAGGGTCAAAGTGGGGACCAATCTAATCTCAGTGTGGACGATGTTTCAGAGGGAGGGAGCCATCACAAAGAAGACACTTCTTCTGGGTCCCACCAGATGCCCTGATTTAAGAGAGAGGACCCACAACTTTCCCTGCCTCCCTGTTTCACTGGATCACATGGATGGGATCAGGAAGAGACAGTTCTTCAAATAACCTGGTCCCAAGCCATGTAGAGTTTAAAGGTGACAACCAGCACCTTGAATTGTACCCAGAAGCAAATTCTCAGCAATTGCAACTCCTACAGGACAGGTGACACAGCTGGGTCTGCAGAAAACCATACGGGTGGCTGAATCTGGAAACAATTGGAGCTTACGGATACTTTTAAAGGACAGCCCCATGTAGAGTCCCATGTAGAGCTGATGATCCCATAATTGGTGTCCCACTTATGAATTTATCACTTTTATGAATTGAAATTTAAGGAACATCCTTGTATAAAGCCTTATGACTTCCCATTGTAAAAGGTGTTTTTTTATTCCTTATATAATCTTTGCCAGTTCCCCCACAATTTCTCATATGAGTAAAAGATGTTTCAGGAAAAAATTGGCTTCATTTTTAATCTATAACTTCTCTGTTTTTGAAATGTTTCTAATTGTAAGAAAAGAAGTAATATTCTTTAGAATATGTTAAAGCAGGGGTGTCAAACTAAATTTCATTGAGGGCCACATCAGGGCTTTGGTTGATCTGAGGGGGCTGGCTGGGTATAGCCAACTGGGTGGGTGTGGCCAACTGAGTGGGTGTGGCCAACTGGGTGGGCATGGCCAAACTGCTGGCATGTTTCTACTTTGCTTTGGATAGACCGGGCTGAAGTCAAGCAGGCCAGCCCTTACATTTTCCAGGCTGGCCCCATGGGCAGTGGTGGGTTCCTTCCAGTTCCACCCGGTTACGCCGAGCTGGTAGTGGTGACAATATGACATCACCGAACCAGTTCTGCCCCCCCGCCACCCCACGTTATTTTTACCTTTTGTTTGGCCCCACCCCCAATCTATTGCTGCCTCCTGAGTCCCAGCTGATGGGCTATAAGAAAAAAAACTGTTTAAACTGTTGCTGCAGGGCTTCAAAGCTGATCAATGTTAAAAGGCAGTATGGTGGTGGACCGTGCCTCCAGAAACAAATGAGTAGACCTGTGCCTGCAAAAATAAATGGGTAGACCAGTGCCTCCAAAAACAAATGAGTAGACCGGTACAGCTCTGCAAGCAGTTAAATTACTGGTAGACCAGTAATTCTGATAAATCCTAAAGATTTAGCACACCCACAAAATAAGCCATGCCCACAGAACTGGTAGTAAAAAATATTAGAACCCACCCTGCCCGTGGGCCAGATCTGAACACATCGCAGGCCGGATCTGGACCACAGGCCTTGTGTTGACACCCCGGTGTTAAAGTGTTTGACAGAGAATGTATGAAATTTTGGTGCAAGAATTTTTTTGAAGCGTTTTAGAGAGCTTAGGCTCACTTTTTAAAAAATATTCGGCATAGTTCCTCCTCAGAAAACATACCTACAATTAATGACTGATTCCTGCTGGATTTGTTCATATTTGATTTTGTGAAAAATTAGCAGAAAAGAAATGTGTCATCTTGAAAAAAAAGCCTTGTATTTATTTCTACAATTATAACAATTAAATATAAATTGTCTTGCATATGTCCCTTATATTACTTTTGTTGG